GCTGGGGGATGGTGTCTTGTAGTTGGTGATGGCTTTCAGACCTTTCCACTCTGAAGCGGAGTCATTGGAAGTGAACTGATCTTCCAACTTTTTAGCGTAGGTCCTTTTAGCCACTCTAATCTCCTTATTCAGTGTGTTCCTGGCCTGACTGTACAAGACTCCATTTCTGTAGGCATCCTCTTTGGCCTGACGAAGATGTCTCAGTTTTGCTGTAAACCATGGCTTATCATTGTTGAATGTTAAATAAGTCCTGGTAGGAATGCATATATCCTCACAGAAACTAATATAGGATGTTACAGTCTCTGTGAGTTCGTCCAGATCAGTGGTAGCAGCTTCAAAAACACTCCAATCAGTGGAGTCGAAACAGGCTTGTAAAACCCACTCTGTTTCGTTGGTCCATCTCTTTACAGTCTTTACTACAGGTTTAGCAGATTTAAGTTTTTGCCTGTAGGTTGGTATAAGATGAACCAGGCAGTGATCAGAGAGCCCCAAAGCTGCCCGTGGGACAGAGTGATATGCATCCTTTATTGCTGTGTATCAGTGATCCAGTATATTACTGTCTCTGGTGGGACATGTAACATGCTGTTTGGGGGCAGTTCACGGGAGAGATTTGCTTTATTAAAGTCCCCAAGAATGATTAAAACAGAGTCTGGGAGTTGTCCGCGCTGACTGAGCTTCACGAGTGTGCCAGGTGTTCTGACAAATAATGCTACCTATCAGATTATGCTACCAACACTGTATTTACACTGGCTCGCTTCCCCCATCTGCGCGTCCTGAAGCGTTTGATCAGCGCTGCTGCTCCGCCAAGTACTATGTTCAGAAAAACATCTGAATACACGAAAACTGGTAGGAGATTTTGTGGTGCGTTCTGCCGAATGTTCAGCAGTTGGAACACTCTGCTGGAGCTAGCTTTAGTCCGGCCAGCAGGGGGTGCTCATTCCCTGACTTGTATGGGTGCAAAAGTCTCAGTATAACGAATCGGACTTCAGAATGTAAAACGAAGCAACCTTTAGATAAAGCGTTAGACCGGCACCTGTAAAAAGGAGCATCGTTCAGATGAGGCATTAAACTGGCCTCCTGACATTTTGTTGTCATTAATTCCCCACCTTAATCATGAATTTAAGCTCATTGTTTAAGCTAGTAGCGCAACCTGATGGCCACATTGAGCTTGTCAGGATGCGCTACCAATCTATTAGAGCAGCTTTATTAAGGCACAGGTTACGAACGCAGCTGTGGCATGCAGTAGGCAGAGTCTGGTTCCTCTACTAACTCTAACTTAATGGTGCTGTATGTAACTTTTTGACTCTACTAAAGCATAAAAATACCATAATATGTTTGCAGATATTTAAGAAACATGCTAAGTTAACATACTTGTTTATCTGAAAAACAATGCTACTGTCAGTTATTCTCCTTTGAATATGTGCGTTCAGGGCTGGAATGTCCAGCTCTGTTTTGGTTTGTGAAACCCGCCCACTGCCAGTTTACCCAATTGTATTTCGGCACCCCGAGTTGCCAGTTGACGGAAAACACAGCGTATTTAATTTCATTCATCGTCAAGTGTGCTCGTTCCTGTTGGTGTCGTCAATCTGGCAACCTGCGTGTGCGTCAAGTCTGAGGCATAGACTGTATAAAAACATGGACGTAGTGTCCGTGACGTCACCTGTAGATTTCCGAAGAGCGTTTTTGAAGCTCAAAAGTGGGCGGAGGCAGCCGTCGCCATCTTGGCAGCGTGTCACTCCCGGATAATTGAAAATGGGCAAAGAGGCGGGAGCAGGTTGCCTGTCACTCAAGTGGCCACGCCCTTAATTATGCAGAACTTTAAGGCTTAATATAATTTAAACGGATTAGTTATAAAAAAATTCACCCCCCTCACAGTTGTCACGAAGGGCAAAATTAGCTATATAGACCAAAATCTTTTTTGAACCAGGCTGTAAACATGTTTTTTTCTGCTGTAAAGTTGGGCATTTTAACATGGGGAGTCTATGGGATTGACTCCCTTTTGCAGCTCGCCTCTAGCGGCCAGTTGACGAATTACAGTTTAAATCACTTCCTTGTTGGCTTCATGAGAGAGAGTGGGAGGTTGCCGCTTGGTCTGAGCAGGAGGGGCCGGGTGAAAAAAGCCCTCTCCAATATTTTGAATTTGGACTGCAATATCTAGTTCAACCACTTGGTGTCAATCCTACATACAGCACCTTTAACAGTCTATTAATACTCTAATGAGAGTTAATTGACATGTAGTTTCAAACTAATCAGAGTTAGTTGAAATGTAATTGCAAAGGTACTATTAATGTAGAAAATGGCCTAATAAAGTAAAGATAATCTGTTAAAAACAGTCAACCTTTAACATGAATGCTCACACATGACAAAAAAAACATAAATTAAATTAAAATAAAATAAAAAATAAACATGGGAATATGATTTTTTTAAACTGTACTTTTTAAAACTTTTTCTCATAAACTGAATATTATAAACAGTATCATAACCATCTTTTTTATTGACATTTTAAACAGAAGCAATTATTCTGTGAGTTTTGCTGAAGCTTAAACAGTAGAGCATCTAGTAACTCTCAATTTCCAGCAAACTGATCCTGTATAATCTGATCAAATTTCCTGTAAGCCTTCAGCGCAGTGTAAGTTTCTTCTGATAAACAAAATACATAAAAAAATGTTTTATTTCAGGTCTGTGCAGTTGCCTTTAATTATGAAATATGCAGATCAAATTGACCCACAAGGTTTATAATCGTAATAAAAATTTGTAAGTATTCCACAACACATCAGAGTGTCTACAATTTGTAGACATGTTCATGACCCTAAGTGAGAAAAAGTCACAACTTACTAGGCATTTAATAATAAGCAAGTAAACAGCAAAAGATTAGCCATGATAACTCTCTTTCTGTATTAATAACAGGTTTAATGGGCTCAAAACAGTTTGTTCAATGACGTGAGAAAAACCTTAATTAATTTAAGCTTGTATAACAAGTCTAAGACAAGTCGTTATTTAGTGAAGTTTAACTAAACTAAGTAAACCTCACTAAAATGAAACTTAGCAAATTAATTCTGTTGAGGTTCTTCCAGCTGATTGCTAACTACTGTAACAATGACACATGGTAGTATGCTAACAGATATTGCTCAATGAATAACACTCCTTTCACTGTCAATATTGATTAGCCAACAAGCTAAGCAAGATAAGCTCCATGACAGTAGCCACAAAAACTCCAACATGACAGAAATATTTCTAAATTTCAACATAACTAAACATAAAGCACTAATAAATGTTTCCCTTTACTTAAAACTACATACATTTACAAATAAATTCAACATTTAATCCCCTGATCTAGTCCATGCAATGCATGCTGGGAACTAGAAATCCACTGTTCAGTTTCACTTGTCAACAAAACTGATTTACGTATTCTCAACACAAAAGGATTAGGTGGACTGCATGAAAAGTAATTAATTGTGAAAAATTAAGATTATTTTGAGTGTGGATAACAATCTACCCATCAAAGTTTCAAGAATATTTCTAATTCAACAAAACGTGTGCTGAGAAACCGACATTTAACATTTGTTCCATGTTGTTGTTTGAATAGAATCCAACAGCTATGTTTTCTTAAGAAATGGGTCAATGAATCAATAGAATAATGACCTGTTGTCGGTTGTGACCTGATTTCCGCAAGGAGCTGACAGGAGCACTTGAGGGCTGTCACTGAGTTTAATGGTGTGGAAGTGACCCGTTGGAATGTAAAATACAGTTATGTTTTGCTTTATGCTCTAGAAGAAGGAAATCTATTCTCCAGGGCTTTGTTACTTCCAAATGGGGGCCTTTGATAAGTATAGTTTGTTTATTTTCCCAAGAGGCCCTCAGCTGAGAATGTCTGTTTGGCCTCAGATGAAGGTTAAAGAGTGTTCGACCGGCCCTGAAAAATGCTCAGCAAAGCAGCAGTTGTGCTTTCCAACACGTCAGATTGTTTGTGTGTTTGCATGTGTCTATGTGTGTGTGACTTTTGCCCTTTAAATATTAATAGAGGCATTCATAAATGAAATACTAGGTAATTTCGCTATTCTTTCTCTATTGGCATTCTCTTTTGTTCAATAAGCCATCCATCAGTCATATATTTTCTTCAATCTTGACTGACATAAATGGAAACCATCATTTTGTTTAGTTGTCCAGCTCAAATGAGCAGACAAGATCAATATTTCCTTGGATATTTAAAATAAATATTTTCTCATCAAGTCCACTTCATGACAGAACAGACACTGTGATGATTGAGCTGGGAAATGTTAACAACCAAATATTCTTAATTCTTCAAATAGTCTTAAAAATAACTCAGCGAGACCGGGGCTAGTTGTCACACATTTTACTCCAGTCAAGATTCCTCAGTGTACGTTCAGTCAGTTAAACAGTGAAAAATTATGATATACAAGACAATTCATGAAACAAAATTAAACAGAAAGAAAGAAAAAAAGAAAACAAAAGAAACATAGCCTATACATATCAAACATTATACAAGTGGTCTGAAAGATATTTATAGCATATGAAAGACATATGACTACTTGCTATAGCAATAACATGATAATATTGGTATTTTAATCTTTAAGAGACTTTATTGTATGGTTTGTGATAGTTAGCCCTGCTCTGTCCTATATTAGAAAATGTTATAGGATTGCTTGACCATTTTAATCAAAACTTTTAAAACATTTCAAATGGAAACAAAGTGCATATTGTATAACATGTCCAACATTCTAAGGACAAAAGTCAATTGCCTGAATCAACCAACCAACAAACAAATAAATAAATGCAGTGATTCAATCAAGCAGCCAATACAACTGTTCGAAATAGAAAATAGCACAGATAAGGATTTATTTGTTTTAACTATCAATCATGGATTATTTAATTTTCCAAACCCTCTAAATCTTCACACAAAAAAACGATAGTATACAGTATTTGTAATATAATCGATGCATGAGGCAGAGTAAATGATTAAAAGAAGGCGGAAAGACACATTGCTGCGCAGCCCAAGCGCCGGGTTGATCCACTTCAAACAAGTGTTGTAAAGCGGAAATAACGGACTGAAACAGAGCGAGAAGCTTTCGATTCTAAATCATTAATAACCCAAACAAAGAAGAGAGTTTGTCCTGGAGTTTCACAAAATAACGCGAACGCTTGAATTACACCCTGTACCAAGGATGAACATCAACGTGGGATACAGCTTTACGCAACCAGCCAACGCCAGCAGTTTCGATTTTCAAACGTAAACATCCGCCGAGCAGTTCCCGTCCAAGTGTGAGCAGACAGACACTTCACTATGCTACCCATGTTTAGGATGAGTGTTTCGGTCCAAAACCGAGGACATGCTATTCCCAGCTAATGGTCAGTTATGATACGACAGGGGTTGGTTTTATTTTAACCCCAAGTGCTTTGCCAAGGCGTCAGCGTTACTAAAGATGCGAATGGGTTAGCACGCAAGCTAACTTGGCTACGAGAGCTGTTTGTTTGTGTAACTACATACTCAACTATGTCTTTTGACAGCACAAATAATAAGTCCTATAATATATAGTCCAGTTTCACAATCGGACATCCTTATTATGGGTCTGCTGAACTTTGTTTTTAGTTCAATTGGAAAATGCATAGATGTCATTTGCCTCCTTCTGGATTTAAATTTTGTGATTGTAAACTCAATAATTCAGCTGTTGGTGGCAGTGATTTCCTTTATCAATAGTCTGCCCATGCTACTCACAAATTCAGTGTCGGAGTGCTGGAATCTCACTCTGCTTTGCATCATCACCATGAGGGACGGAGTGGCCGTCGTGACCCATAACATGGTCGGAGGCTGGATGCAGCTGCTGGGAGGCATCCTGGAAAGCTTTAAGATGATCGGATACCTGTCTTCGCATCTACTGCTCCGCACCAAAGAGCTTCTCCACCGCGGACTGTTGTCGGGACACAGTTTGCTGCGACAGGCCTGGGAAGGCTGTGGGATTGTGTTCAGCTTGTTGCTATATTTCATCAACACTATCATCAACTTGCTCCTCATTGGCACGCAAAATTTATACTCCGTGTTGGTCAGCGTGGTGGAAGCAGTGTCCTGCCCTTTGCAGAAAGCTCTTGAGCTGACTTTGACAGCGTTGACGTTTCTTTACAGCAGTCTTGTTGGCACCTCCATTCTGCTGTGGACTCCATGCAGACTGGCGATGGAGTTCCTGGGATCCGTGTGCCATGTATTTGTGAGCATGTTCCTGCTCAACTCTTACGGGCGGCTTCTCATATTGCTCATCATTGCGAGTGCCACTGTATATCTAAACCCTGCGCTCCCACGACATGTATGTTTGCGTGTAATCAACTACATCAACACTGTTCCCATCCTACAGTGTTTCCGGAGGGCTATACACCGCCTCTATGTGTTTGAGAGGAATTTGTGGCAGCGATTGGCCTGGTATCGCAGCCAGATAATGGTTCCTGCAAGGATGGAAGTTGTGGAAGGGGACGTTAGACAGCCAGATGCCAACCCTGAGCCTCAAGCTGACCCAAACGCAGCAGGCGAGGTAGCAGAAAACGCACCTGAGGATGCCCACCAAGTGGATGACCCTCTAGACCTGCCGCTTCCCAGTTCCGGCACTCGCAGGCTGCTCCGCAAATTTCCTTCGGAGGACAGTTGCAAAGGCCCTCCGGCTGACAACCTGCTGACTCTTCTGCAGGAGCAAGAGGAGAGGAAGAAGTGCGTGATCTGTCAGGACAGCACCAAGACTGTTGTGCTCCTGCCGTGCCGTCACTTGTGCTTGTGTAGAGACTGCACCAACATTTTGCTCAGCCAGCCTATCTACCAACAAAACTGCCCCTTGTGCCGCCACATGATCCTTCAGACCATGGACGTGTATCTCTGAGGGAAGCGTTTACGGATGTGTTTCTGTCATCCTCAGGTTTTATGAGCAGCACTGTTCTTGAAATGTGGGAAACCACTTGTTCCTTTTTCAAAGATGGCCATTCCACTACTGATGCTTGTATATAGATTTAAATCACAACCTTTTGTTATTCGTTAAGGCGAGGCTGACGACTGTGCTCGTGCTTTCTTATGATTTTATATTCATTGTCACTTTTTTCATCAGCTTGTAGAAGCAATATCACATGAATGAAAGTTTTGTATAAAAAAACATAAAAAATCGTGTGTTAATTGTGAAGATAGAAGATTTATGATGTAATTGTCGAGTGTTAATGGGGAACATTTGTATGCTACAATACTAACGTTGGGCCTTATTGTATGAATTGTCTATTTGATTTATTTTTGCCTGATTGTAAAAGTGATCAAAGGCTTCATGGGAACCTTTTGAAACCTCACAATAATTCACATGACTTCAGTCCATCAGTTAGTGTCTTCTGTGTTTTTATAATATGCAGATCCATCAAGATATTTTTAACTTCAAACCATTCCAGTCAAGTTCTCAATCCATAATATTGCTTTCCCCAGTGAAAAAGTTGTCTCATTTGAATCAGGAGAGAAATATGCACAAATCAAGTACCGTTTACAAGCAAAAACGAATGGATTTGTTTCTTACATGCAGCTTTTCAGTGTTAATTGATGGATTGAAGTCTTGTCAAGTACCTGTGGATTATTGTGATGTTTATGGGGAATATTTGTATAATACAATATGAACGTTGGGCCTTAGTATGATTTGTTGTCTGCTTAATTTCTTGCGTGACTGTAAAAGTGATCAAAGCTTTCATGGGAGCATCTACAACATCAGATTTTTTTTTGTGTGTGTGTGTTGGAGAAATCTGTTTTGCTTTGCATACAAAATGTTATCATTCCACCAAAGCTGTTTTGTACTCTTTTTTTAAATACAAGTGTCACTACAATATTTTCACAAGTTATTCTACAATCTGATGATGTATCTGTGCTGTTTTTGTCATTTATTATTGAACAGCAAGGCTTTCTCACTGCTCAAGTGGTATTGATTAATGCATTTTCAAATCAAAATTGTGTGCTTGTTTTTTGTTTTGAGAAGACAGTAATTCAATTCAGTTACCGGTAAAAACAGAGTGGCAGAAAGGCTTTTAGCTCAGCTTTGTCCAGGGGATGTTGTCAGAAATCACTATTTTGGAAAACATCTTATGCATTATAGAAACAAGGTACAGGCTTTTCTGGTTTATGTCAGTTATTTTGGTCTTGCATGATATTTCAAAACCCATTTAGAAAGGCACAATGCGCAAGACAATCAGGTGCATTTAAGAGAAAAAATTATTTGCAAGGTCCATGCAAGCTGTTGTCCTTCCTTAAAATATAAAAAATGACTCTATAGTCCCTACTTATTTCTAACACTTTCAATTCTGCACAATGCAGGTGACAAGCACTAACCCATGGTTTATTATTGTAATTTTAAGGTTTTTAAGCAAGCTGTGATTTCATTCCATATTAAGCCCCAAGCCTTTATTATTCTTGTACCACAGACGCTTGTTTTCTATGAAGGTCTCCAGTGATGATGTTTGTGGGTAGAGCAGATGTCTGTCTCTCCAGAGGCCTGGATAATATCAAAACCACATTCACTGACTATCCAGATGAACAATAAACAGTATTTGACTGTGTGGTCGTATTGTCTCTGTCTTCAGAACAACTTGTAGTAGTTTCGTCATTGGACTAAAATGCAATTCACAACAATGTCTTTGATTGTGATAAATGACTTATGCCACTTCTAAGCTGAGATCAGCACACAAGCAGAGATTTGAAGCTGCTTGACGTGGGCTGGGACCTTATGAACCAGAGAGTATAATGGACTTCACTTCCTCTAGTTGTTAAATCATGGGAAGGGAGTTTCCCAAAGCCTGATCCAGTGTTATCATGCCTCACAATCAATCAGATAGAACTAGTGTTTAACTCAGCTACACTACCGGTCAAACTTAAGATTTTTTTTAATGTTTCTGAAATTAGCTCTCTTATGCTCACCAAGGCTGCATTTATTTGTAGTACATATAATTTTATTTCTGTGATGGCAAAGCTGAATTTTCAGCAGCCATTACTCCAGTCTTCAGTATCACATGGTTTTCAGAATCATTCTAATGTGCTGATTTTCTGCACAAAAATATTAATTATCATTATCAATGTTGAAAACACTTGTGCTGCTTAATATCAGTATATTTAAATGATTTCTGAAGGATCGTGTGACACTGAAGACTTTAATGACTCTTGAAAATTCAGCATTATCATCACAGGAATAAATTACATTTGAAAACTTATTTAAATAAAAAGCAATTATTTTAAATTGTAATAATATTTCACAATATTACTAAAACAAAAATCCTTAAGCTATTTCAAACATTTGACCGGTAGTATACAGTTGAAACATTTGCCAACCATTAGAGAATCTTTTAAGTGGTACAGAAGTAGCTTTACGCCTTTCATTTGATATAAGGTGTGTGAAATGCAAGCTTTACTCTGGAAGTATAAAAGGAAACACATTCAGCACTGGACAGCTCCACATTCCAGCAATTTTAACAGATGGAAATCTGAATCTCGCATTGTTGTGCACTTAGAAACAGCATTCAACCAAATAGAGTACTTACATTCGGATGCATCTTTCATATCTGCTATCTGTAACTGCATACTTGAGAACAATGCTTTAAAAATAACCTAAAGCTTAGGAAGTAAGTCACCATAATGAATTCAACAGAGTAAAGTGTCCTATTTTTTAAACAGAGATAAAAGAGGATTTCCTCATTTATTTTGTGCCTTGAAACAAAACTAAGCACCACTTCATTGATTGTTATTTGCACAACAATGCATTGAGTCTTTAGATAAGATCTTTTAAATGTCTTTTTTTATTATTATTATTAAAAAAGTATGATTATATAATCTACTAATATACTTTATAATCTACTTTTATGAAAAAGTAGATTATAAAGTATGGGAATTTAACTCTAAGCACAGGTGGGATATTTTTAAACACGTTTCTTGTTTGTTGATTGATTTATCAATTTGAGTCCAGCTTACAAGTTAACCTTTGCTTCCTTGTTTTTAATAGTCTACACTCAGACTAACCCTCAAATAAATGACCAAATAGATAAACATCAAGAAAATATGACATATGGCATCATTCTCTTAAAAGGTTATTTCACCCAAAAATAAAAATTCTGTCATTATTTACTCAATTTAGGATTTTATTAATATCTTAATGCATTTCTGGCCTTATTGTATCTTCTGCCTTTTGGTTACCTGTACTTTCAGTGGAAGGACAGAAACCTTATAGGTTTCATTAAAAATATCTCAATTTGTGTTTCGAAGATTAACCAAAGTCTCATGAGTTTGGAATGACACAAGGGTGAGAGTGAGTAAGTGATGACAGAATTTTCATTTTTGGGTAATCTCTTTACGATGAATCTCACAAATAGACAGGCACAGCTTGAATTGGTGTAGTGTTGTAGCATTTAGAAAGAACAAAAGCATGATACTGTACCCTCAACATTTTTATAAACTTCCTGAAAAAATGAGCACTTGGGATCCTGATACTCATGCAGGGTCTTCTAAGTATAGCTCAGCTAGACTAGAGTCATTCAGAGGGTCATCCAATTCACAGTGTATGAGTGTGTCTGGCCCTGGGCCCACTGAGCCTCCAGCCTTTGGGTCAATAGGAACATTCCTGTCTCTTAGGATGAGAACAGGCAAAAACACCAGCTCCTCACACCCACACAAAAGCATCCACGGCACAGGGCACTTCCATTACGCCTAACATTATACATGAAATTTCACAAGGATCTGGCAATACTGAGTAAATGGAAAGTAACCTGTTAAAACAAAAATGCTATTTTTGAGGAAGCAGTACTTTTACAGTCCTGTTCAACATGTACATACTTAGTTATTTAAATAACTGGGTAATAACTAGGTACTAACCCTAAACCTAACACACAGTTATTTCTTAGGTAAGTACACTAAGACCGATTTTGAACTAGACCGTGGTAATTCTTGTTTCTGTATGCAATTGTTGTTCACAAGTGTGGTTATGATGATAAAATAACGCCTCCTGTTGTTATTAAAGCAAAGTACATAACCAATAATAGGAATAAATGGGAACTAAATCTGTAATACAATAATGAAAGGGCGCCCTCTGCTGATATTAATAAAAATGGATGCATAATATGATTCCTAATGAAAGCATTAGAGCTACAAATTATTACACATTCAGAATCTGTGGTGTTATTTAAAATCCAAAAACAAAGAACTACAGATAATTCACTTTATAACAGTTTAGGTTTTGTAAAGTTTTAGGACATGTATGTCTATGGTAAATTGTGTAAATAACATGGTATATGAACGTATATTTATATATATATATACGCAAAAGATGTATCATTTAATGGTTAGTCATTAGTGTGATTTAGAAGAGTACACTGACTTAAACATTCAGTGGCACTCAATTACTAATATCATATAGATTATGCCAACTTGCACTATTGTGAGAGGAAAATTACATAAAAAAAAGGGTCCTTAAAACACATTTTTCAAATAAATCTGGTCTGCAATTCAGATTGCTTTTAGAATTGATGTATGTAGCAGAATCTGGACCTTTAGACACTGTTTTGATGTTTTATATGCCTGTTAAACCAGCTCACTCAAAGCCCTGCCATTAAGACTAATAAATAAGTAGTGTTGTGAATGGTAATGATAAAAGTTTCAGGACTTGGATTCAGATGCCTTTTTGAGGTTGTTTCTGTCTGGTTGAAGTGCTCTGCTAACAGCTGTGAAAGGGGGAAGGCGGCCATGACCTCATGGAAATGAACTGCACGAAGGGAGGATACAAATGTACCTCTCATTCTTCTCAATGTTACTGCGAAAACATTCCCTGGACGTCTCTGCCAGCAATCTGGGGAAATTTGGAACTACTTGTCTTCAAACAAAAACTTGTAGAAAAACAGGAGAAGGGATAGAGAGAATGAGAGAGAGAAAGAAAGAGAAAGCTACGTTTAGACCAGGATCTGTATCATTTAAACAAAAGTTCAAGCTTTGGAAAATGAGGCTTGTTAACATGTCTGCGTGACTCCGCACACAGAGGTAACCAAACACAAATCATGGATTCTGGCTTTCTATAAATATACAATTTGTAGTTTAAGGCTTGGTCACATTAGCGAAACTGGCAAAAAACCTCCATTGTCACTAGCAAAGTGATGCATGAAATACAGCTTACTCAAGAGGTCACTTCCAAAATAAACATCTTTCTGTTAGTCAACACAGCACATCCATGTGACTATAATGAATCTGCATGTGGAAAAATGTCACCTTCACGCAAAATTACCAGTCCATAAGTAATAAGTACTACACTTTTATGATGCTTCTGCATCCGTTTTGAAGATTGAAAGTCCTCCAGTCCCCATTACATTCTTCAAAAATTCTCCACGTGTTCCACAGAAGAAACAACAGTAAAGACCCATTCACACCAAGATATAGTTTTCAAAACCATTCAAAATTTTCAACAATAGCAGAGTCTTCACCACAACTAAAATGGTACAGGTACAGGAACGATATTGTTGGAATCACTTTCAAAACGTTTTTTTTCCTTCCAGGTGATGAATGATGAAAACATTGACATCCAATCAGAATCCACACAACTTTAGAGAACTTGAGCATGCAAAGCAGTAGACAAACTAACTGGCTGCATGTGCTCAGAATAAACAGAACGTTATTGGTGCGACTCTAATATAGTTAACTTATCTTAACAGTTATTGGTCTTGGTGTGAACAAGCCTTCATACAGATTTAGAACAACTTGAGAGTGAATAATTAATTACAGCATTTCCTGTTAAAGATGAGGTATTGCTCTAAATGCACCATGAAACCTGAAACCACAGCTCCCAGTTTCCCAGCAGAAGAAATTACTTTTCCTTGTAACATTTACTGACAAATAAGGCAATTATGAGTGTCATTTTTTATTGAAGTCATATTCCAGAGAAATGTTGGAAAGTATTTATTGTGCTTTTTCACAAAATATAGACTGCCACCAGAATTTCTGTAAAAACAGCAGAAGGATTTCTTTTTCTGTATTTAGATTTTTTTATTCCATATTTCCAAAGTAGTAATGCGTTTCATTAATGACTTTCATACTTGAATTCTTTGCATGGAAATACTCTAGTAACTTTATTCTGTATGACTATATGTGCTTAGAACTTAATCATCTGTGCAGTGCTGATCATATTTGATTCTAATGAAATGATTACTAATCAAGGCCAATCAAATGCCTTTGTCTTACCCATTAAAATATTTTTTTCCTAATTCATGAAACCTTTATTAGACAGAGAGAAAGTTAGTTGCAGTGTACTTTAAATCTATGCAAAAACAGCAGAGTTTTTCCAGTCTGAGTACACTAGGAAACCAGTGAAAGTGCTGTCTGTCTTCGGGCTGGAGTAAAACCCAGTGTACTCGCCAAGGGCCATCTGCACCCACACCTGATCTCCTGGAATCAAGTGTGCTAGTGTCCCTCCAGACAGAGAGGCTGGTTTTGACCAGTTACCAAAGATCTGAAAGTAGGAGGCCACGGTGTGTCCGTTCTTTATAAGGTCAAACTGCAAGCTGGAGCGGTAGACTGTGGCGTGAACGGCGAAGTAGTAAACGCCCGGCACTCTGCAGGTGAATCGTCCCGTTTCGGGATTGTAATCCCCCTGCTCATTCAGAATGATTTTGTCGAAGCGCACCGCGTCCCCTACTGCCAATGGGCTCGTGCGGGACTCAGTTTGAGACAGTTTGGCGCTAAAAGCTGATTTGGGGGCCACCGCACACTCCCCCGGGCTTCCTCTCTCTCCTTTTTCTCCTAGATCCCCTCGGTCTCCCGTAAGGCCCCTCACGCCCGGCTGACCTGCGATAAGCATCATGGAATATTCATGTTTCACTATTGACATTCAATAGAGTGCTGCAGGGATGACGCATTTTTGTAGGCCAGAACCTGGAAACAAGCACTTCCACCATTCTGAAGTCAACGGGCTTTTTAATTGGGTTTTTGGTTGAATGCCTGAAATAAAGTCTGTGGTTAACACAAGCTCAAGATATTTTCATGGTTGGAACAGAAATAGAGTATGTGCTTTCCGTACATAATAAAATGTAGTTTTGTGACAAAAACATGGAAATAATCTGTTGTTTTTATCCTATTGTTTACTATATTTATTTGCTTGGTCAGTGTCTTTGTGGGTTTTGGTTCTTTTGCTGTTGTAAGCTGTAAGGAACTTTGAAATAACTGAAATCATTTGGCGAAGTGATGTGGGCATGTAATGCGGCCTGAAACTAGGCTACTTTAGCCGTGCGTTTCCCTGAAAATACGTAATTGCACACCTTAGAACGTTCGTCAACCAATCAGATAGAAGCGATCGACAACCCTGTAGTATAATGAGGAACAAAACATGCAAGAATCAAACTTTCACTGGAGATAATTTTCTGCAATAATCCATAAGGCAGTCGGAAAATCCTATTGTTTTTTTTGTTGAGGGAACCAGGGTGATACTAAAAAAGTCATCACTGCAGCACTCAGTGGAGGAGAAAGTGAGGAAAAACATCATTGAGGTTGTCATTTTTGTACCTGGTTCTCCTCTGTCCCCCGTTTCCCCTTTCTCTCCGGGTTGAGCATCACGACCATCCCGTCCATCCCTGCCGGGCTGACCAGGGCTGCCGTGCAACCCAGGGGATCCTGGGATACCTGGGCTTCCTGTGCACAAACTGGGGATCTTGTTGTCTTCAAGCGAGTTGGAACAATGTACTGCAATAACAAGCAGCAATGAAAGAGGCCATGTCTGCAGAGATGTCATTGCTCAGTCTGTGGAGAAAAGAAAGAAAGGGAAGAAAAAAATAAGCCTTATAAGCTTGTATCTTGTTTCAAGATGATTTCAGCATTATTGAGACTGAAAATAGACGCATGGTATGAAGTCTGGACATAATGTGAAAAGCACAACTCTGAGAGTTGTATGATCTCACCTCTCAGTCAATAGGGTGAGTATGCCAAGGGAAATTTGACAGTACATCGTAATTACTAAAGCACAAACTCTGCTGTGTAAGTGTAAATGCAGACGAAGACTTAGGAATTCATATCTTATAGCATACAGCCTACTCAAGCCTTTAAAAATCTTTTAAAGTATGCAGAAGCACCATAAAAGTATCAAAAGTTGTCTCTTGTCTGCATATTTTCTGACTTGGGATATATTGCATAAGTCATATGGATCACCGTTATAGTGGTTTTATTTATTTTAGAGCCTGACAGCCTCAGTCCCGATTCACTTTCATTGATATTGAAAAGAGTGACCAGAATATTCTTACAAAATAAATTTTGAAATGACACGAGGCCGAGTAAATGACAATTTTAATTTGTGGGTGAACTATCCCTATTTTGTCAGCTAATATTAAGTTGATTCTTCACTAAATGCAAATTGTCTTGTGCAACCAATAAATTCAACATAAATGTTCATTAAATTATCAACACAAGTATTGTTTATAACTTTTAAGAACACATGTTATTCACACTGCAGTGCGTGCTGGGAGCTCTAACACTGAAGAACACTGAACAAATTAGCAATATAAAATTGTTTAACTCTGGTTGTAGGACAACATTTGGGGAAATATTGTTGTCCTAATATGCATTCTCTGTAGATTTATTTAGTAATTCACATTTCCTAAAAAAAGCTCAGTACATGTACATATCATCTAGTTTGAGGGGTTGAAAACTGAATGTTTATAGTTAGTTGGTGAATAACGAAAAAGCAGAATGTGTTAATTACTATAATAAATTTTTACTGTCAACCATCTGTCATAATGAGGTGCTGAAGGCAGTCAATAATCAGGCTGCAAGCACACAGTCTCTTCAACAGGATGTATTCATGGGCTTGTCAGCTCTCGTAATCTTGCCTAGAACAAAGCATTTCCAAGATTTTATGCCTTGCCGTAAATCAGCAGGTTCTGTTCAAGTCCGCTGTCTGTCAAACAGCTGTTTCTTATAAGTTGAAGAGAAAGTGCTGAAGATTCACCTTGAGAAATACAACCAGACCACCAAAGCCTTCTTCAAAAATTCTGCAGAATCAGTTAAAGCACTTCTATCTTCAGTTTAATAGAAACATTTGTTCATGGACATCTGGACAGTTATCTCTCAGGACCTTGTTTATGTATTTTGGTTCTAAAAGCTTCGAGCAGCTCAAACTGTGAGCCATGTTAGGACATAAGAGGAATGACTGCCAAAGAGCACAGAACAAATACCGTCATTCCAGGGTCTTCCAAACAATCTGATTTCCAAACAAAGCACATTACTCACTCATATGCTTCACGTCCTTTATTACTGCAGCATTGTGTTATTGTATAGAAGGCAACAAATTATTGCAACAAACTATTAACATTGGGGTACATTCCCACAGTATCACAGCAACATTTACACTATACTACAAATTAAACTTTGGGTTGAAATATGGGAATGATCAGATTTCTTCTTCGTTGCTTATCTTGAAACTTCAATGCATTATAAATAGGTCCCAACTGTCATTAATCATTAGTACACTGTCCGGGGAAAAAAAGGTACAAAAGCTGGAAGGTTGGGGAGCAACCTTTCAAAAGGAATACCTTTGTCCCTTATTTACCCCTAAATGGTGCATACTGGTACCTTAGAGGGACATATTAGTACCTAAATGATACATATAAAGGTATTGTGTAAGAAGAAACGCTAATTTCTCAGTTTTCAAATATTTGCCTCCAGAAATGTGATTTGCAGTAAACAGAATCTTTGTCAGTCTCATTTACTGGAAGTAAATGACCGAACTGAGATTCAGAATGAGCAGTAATGACAAAAACAAAAGTTACATAAGAGATTGGATAATCGTTCCATTTAGAGACTCCATAGTAAAGAGCATTACTGGTAGTCAAAGTGAAATAGTTATATCTGCATTGAAGTGTCTAAATGGCAGACGGTTTACAAAAAAATGTTAAGAATTTGCCTATGAAAACAAACCAAAAAGTTTCCATAACACTTTATTAGTGAAAGCAGTCAGACCCCTTATGATGACTAAATAAATTTAAGTTATAGAAAAAAAAGAAACAAAAACTCACCATTTACGTTTTTTGAGGCTTCACTGGATTGATGGTCTCGAGCAGGCGAAAGAGAAACGAGCAGTGAAGCTCCTCTTTTCTTTTGCTGTCCAAGGCGTCTGGGAAAAAATGAGCACTCCTAGTCTTCAGAGGAAATGGGAAGCTATTGGAAGCCAATTAGAAATAGGGAGGCTGGGAGATGGGGAGGGAGAAAGAGGGATCATCCAAGGGACGGAGACTAAACATTTGTAGCTTGTCCAACTTTATAAGCATAAACATTATCTGATACAGTAGAGCCCTAGAGATGGGGTCTTGGGCGCCAATGAACAGTTTGGCGAGACCCGTGTGCATTTAATTGGTGTGGGGTTTACAAAGGAAAGATGCCAGTTCATTGTGGCTGGCAAATTTGCGAGAAATAAACCATTCAGGGATTACAGCCCTGTGGTCAAGTAAGAGATCGAACTATTCTTGCTTTAAAAATACAAAGCATATTTTATAAACCGTGTCAATGATTATGTGACACGGCCGCTTCATGTAAACAAATCTTCTGCCACATCAAGAGAGAAAAAAAAAATACTCATTGCATTTGGAAATGTATGTGGTTATTTCTGAGTTTAAAGGAGCAGTGAAAATCTGCAGACATGAATGAAAGATGTTGGGATGTGCTGATGTGGGTGGTAGTTCAGACACATGGTTCTAGTTACTCTGGTAGCTTCCCCATTCGGGGTATCCAGGCCTGTCTAGAACACTTATTCAGCTTTTTAATTCTCATTTTAGGTTGAATGGCTCATAAACTACTTCCGACAAACTGCTAGTGGCTCCTTCTTGTCTGTAAAATTTCATGAGACCAGGTACTTCACATTATGAACAGCTGGCTGGAACTAGACACCCTTTTCTCAATCTTTTGGTGTGAATGGTTTCAATAAAAAGTTATATTTTTAAATTGTAATGCTAGATTATTTTTTGCATCTTACATCATAAAATTTTAGTCTCTCTAACCATTAAAACTAAGCAGCTTTTTTTCCGTTGTACCTGCAATTCAAATTCTTTGCACGTAAAACCAAGACCAAAAGTGGGTTTTTTTCAATTTTTGCAAGGCCTGTTTTATGTTATGACAGGTTGACAAAATTTGTTAAACAAACAGTTTAGAGCATACAGAAATAAGAAATCTGTTGAAAATAAACTTGAGCAGCTCTTTCCAGCAATGTGATCCTTCAGATGGATATGCAGAGCAGTAGGTGCTACACAACCAGAAACAGCAAATTACTTTTTTTTCCTTCTCTCTCTCCCTTTGTTGTTTAAGAATAATACTATCTGCTGTAGTTCCTTCTTGTTGGTTAACATAACTGGTTGGGTCAAGTTCCTGAACACCAATATTGAACAAAAACATGATGGTTCTTTTTTGGCACCTATAGTTCAGTGAGGAACCTTTAACATGCATTGAGCATTTCCACTGCACAAAAGGTTCTTATAGTTGAGAAAGGTTCATTGCTGTGAAATTCCCTTTTGGAACCATTATTTTAAGAGTGTACCATGTCACCATTTGAGGTCCAAAATGAAATATGGGTCTTGATGCAAAACCAGAAAACTACTGGTCTAAAAATTCTAGGAAGTTAAAAACGACACTATATCAAGTTTGAGTAAACGAGACATGTTTATTATTTAAACTATCACTTAAATAAAAAAGTGCATAGAAAATAAACATGATTAGAAATTTTCCTTTTTACAGTTATGTACAATTTTTTCCTCATTATACATTCATCCTTAAGTAGTTTGTGGTTGAATATTTTAGATTAACAAATTTTCCTTCATTTTTCTGTAAAATGGTAAAACACTGATGGGGCAACTTGGAGAAAATAAAATAAATAAAAACCTTAAAACTGTCAGTATTAACATCAACATGATCTCTCGAAGCTACAGGGGAAAGGAAGTGTTGGTAAGACAATGGAAAACTTGCGTCCTCCAAGAGGAACGAGTTAAAAACTCTCTCTCTCAAGACCTCTCTGACTCTCTAAAATACCTTCGATGGTCCGCAACTCATTTCTGTACAAAAGTGAACCATGTTAAAATTCCAAAAACAGGGAGCACAGTCACCTGCTCTCAGAAGGAGTTTTACCTCAGTGTACATCTAGAGATGTTTGCAGAAATAAATAAATAGAATGGTTACCATTACTCATTACAGAACATCACGTAAGAAAAAGTACAACTTAAGAACCAAAAGGAGAGAGAGGTATAGGTGACATGGCTGGGTTTAGGCAAGGACATATTTTTCCTGATGTCCACAAACTGTTAAAAATGTACATAGTAAAATAAAGTCGACTACACCATCAAAAGCAAACAAATTATCAATGCTCAAAGTTTACAACCACATTTTACATGAACTCGTTTCATAATATAAATATCGCTCCTTTTCAAATAAAAAAAAAAGTTAAAACAAATGAACAAATTAAAAGAAAAAAAATAACTGCAATGCTCCATTGAGGGAACATACACAGGCACAGGAAAACTGGTACTTGATCTTGATATTAAAATGATGCACATTAGTTACTCTAAAGTTTATCTGCAACACAAAACCATTATAGATAATACACTGAACATTGCAATTAACCATTATGAAGCTGCTGTTTGCTACTGTAACTAAGTTTGTCTGTCCATTCCGTATATTGAGTAGATATTGAAGTACAAGTTACTATTCATACACGTTTAGTTTATATATATATATATATATATATATATATATATATATATATATATATATTGTATATATATATATACTATACT